AATATTATAATTGTATATATAATTGTATAGATAATATTTGTAAAAATAAGAACACATAATTATCAGCAAAATAAACTGCAAATTTTTCATAAACTTGACTTTTTTCATTAAACACACATCCTTACATTAGAATATGCGTTGGAATTCTATGATATCCAGAAATAAATTCGCTGAGGTAATGATCATATGCCTGACAGCATTTTCAACTATTTACATTAATAAATTTTAAATTAAAACATATTTTTAAAATAAAATTTACATTTAGCTTTAATATGATCAATACCTTTTTGTGCCTAAAAAGTGGATGACGCATTCTTAATTAAATATCTCCTTAGCTCCGACTTCGTAAAATTCTCCGGAAATATCTCTAATCACCCTTCCTATCTCTCTAAGTTCAATATCAGCACCACGTGATATTAAAAGCTCTTCAATTCCTTCACTTCTCTAAGAAGCTTCGTGTAGAGGTGTCCTTCCATCGCTACTTTTAGCATTAACATCAGCGCCACATTTTATTAAAAACTTGGCCATCTCTTTGTTCTTTGCGAAAAACAAAGGTGTTCTATCAGTGTTTTCTTTAGCATCGATATCAGCACCATGAGATATTAAAAGCTCTACAATCTCTTTACTTCTCTTAGAAGCTTCGTGTAGAGGTGTATTTCCATCGCTACTTTTAGCATTAACATCAGCGCCACGTTTTATTAAAAACTTGGCTATCTCTTTGTTCTTTGCGAAAAACAAAGGTGTTCTATCAGTGTTTTCTTTAGCATCGATATCAGCACCATGAGATATTAAAAGCTCTACAATCTCTTTACTTCTCTCAACCGCTTCATGCAGAGGTGTCTTTCCATCGCTACTTTTAGCATTAACATCAGCACCACATTTTATTAAATACTCGGCTATCTCTTTTTTCTTTGCGAAAAACAGAGGTGTTCTATTAGTGTTTTCTTTAGCTTCGACATCAGCACCATGAGATATCAAAAGCTCCACAATCTCTTTACTTCTCTTAACAGCTTCGTGTAGAGGTGGCTTTCCATCGCTACTTTTAGCATTAACATCAGTGCCACATTTTATTAAAAGCTCGGCTATCTCTTTGTTCTTTGCGAAAAACAGAGGTGCTCTATCAGTGTTTTCTTTAGCTTCGACATCAGCACCATGAGATATTAAACGCTCCACAATCTCTTTATTTCTCCTAACAACTTCGTCTAGAGGTGTCTTTCCAAATCGAGGTGTTCTGTCAGAGTTTTCATTAGCTTCAATAGCTGCGCCTTTTCTTATTAAAAGCTCAGTGGCTTTCTTATTAGCAGCATAGTGTAGAGGAGTCCATTTATATTCATCAACTGCATTTATCAACTTAGGATGTCTGTCTATCAGTGCATTTATAATGCTTATTAAACTTTTTTCTGCTGCTTCGTGCAGTAAAGTTTTTTTCGGTTTGTCAGCAATATAATTCTGTAGGCTTTTCATTGCTTCATTCATATCATCAGCATTTGCACCATTTGTTAATAGTATTTCAACAGTATCCCAATGACCACCTTTATCAGCATATCTTAGAGGTCTCCAACAAAGAAGTTGATCTACAGCCCTGACATTAAAACCGTGTTTTAGTAAAATCTTGGTTATATGAAAGTTTCCATATGCAGCTGCTAGGTGNCCAGGCTATACTTAAATAACTTTTGTTCTAAAGAAGTGCGCAGGGAAGCCATGATCATTATAAATTTAAAATATTCGTTCTTATTACGAAAAGTTTCTTGTGCTAGCCTTTCTGTTAATTCATTCAAGTTAACTCTCACAATCCAAAGTGAAGCATCCCTTTCTTTCATCCTTTGTGCTAAGTTAGTCAATGCAGTGGATTTTCCCTCTCCAGGCTCAGAACTTATTATTACTATTCGATCTTCAATGTCAAGACATGCAGAAAAACGATCTCTATCTATGAACTCACGCAAACAGGCTAGATTACCGTGAGATTTCTGCCATTCAAATTTGTCAGATTCTTCTTTCAACCAGTGAATATTGCAGTTTTCGTATTCCTGACACAGTTCATCAAAATGACTCTCAGTATCAGAAGCTATCACTATATCTTGACCTTGTTTAGGTTTATATTTATCAACTTGATTATTATAAATAAAACAAAATCTAGACTTTTCTTCTTTGATCTCACTTTTTATTTTTGCATCGCGATAAAAATATCTGCTAGTGTAATACTTTTCAACATCACCTAAGTTAGGAAGCATTTCACCTACAGTAATTGTTTCATCGTTGATAAGCTTACACAATGTTTCTTCATCTACTAGATGACTAGACTCATCTGTTATGAGCGTACTTAAACTTATCTTTTCACCCTGAAATTGGATTTTCTTCTCTAAAAGTTGATTTCGAGAGCTGAATGTTAAATCAAAAAATTCAAATTTCTCATCATCCTTTATTTCCCAGTAAAAATTATTCTTATCTTCTAAACAATAATCGAAATTAATACGCTCTTGGGTAACCAAAATAAATTTTAGTTTCGGATAACATTCTAGAACCCTGAATAATTCTTTAAAATAATTAGTTAATAGTTCTTTATCTTCTTGCCATGATTCAATGTTATTCTCAACCACAAAAAACATAGATATTTCTTTATTCGGTTGTTTTACAACATTGCTTTGTGACAAAAATAGCTCTAAATTTGCAACCTGTTTCAGACTTAAAAAGGTTTTAATTGTTTGATACGAAATTTTTGTCCTTTTTAGATGGTTGTATATTTTTATAATTCCTATTATAGGTTTCACTTTGCATATTAGCTGTAAAAATTGCAAATTAGAATTTTGTAAAAAATCATCTAGATATTTCACAGTTACGTTCTCAAGCATAATATATTCAATAGGTTGAAGATAAATAAGGGACTGTTTTTCAAAAACATCATTGAAAACATCCAAGCTCTTTAACTTAGCTTTTATCTCGTTGTGGAAATTTGGAAAAATAAACAAAATATTCTTGACATAAATTATCAATTTTTGAAGCTTTTCTTTCGAAGCGCACTTGATAATGCCACTACCTTTTCTCTCTTTTATTTCAAAATCTTGAACCATTTCTTTAACTTCATCTTTATTTATCATCCCTTCTGTTTTCTGATGAAGTAAGACGAATAATTCGTCTGCTATATACAGCATTGAAAGATGTTTTAATGTATGGCATTTTATCAGAAAATCGAATTCAGCCCGCGTGAAAATATTAGCACAACATTCTTCTTTTTCAATACTTTCCACGTGATAATGAACTGTGGGATGATTGAAATAGCTAGAACAGTTCGTTAGTTCAGTAAAAGTGTCATAATCTTTCATTAAGGGCCAGTCTTTTACCTTCATTATTTTTGTCATTGAAGCTTTAATTTTGTCTATGTTATGAGTCTCTTTTGTGTACTGAAGGAAATTACCACAAGTTGTTCCATCAGGTAAGTCTTCAATAAACACGCGATATAAATTGCCAACATTAAGATGCGATTGAAGAGTATTGATTAAATTTGGTGCGGAGAGATAAATTGTGATATCCAACAAAGTGGATGGATGTTCTGTACTACTATAGCGTACATCAAAGTCACTTTCCATTTTCAACAACATGTCCTTACAACCAGGACTGTCAAAGACTGCTGTATGCGCATGATAGCCTTCTTCGTCATTTTGAACGAAAAAGAAATCTCCTTTATCTTCTTCGTTTTCAGGAACAAGATATTGAGTAGTAAAAGCAGTGATTTGTGCTAACCAGCCTCCGAATGAATGACCAGTTATGGAAATTGTCAAATTCTGTGGAAACTTTTCACTAAGCAACTCAAGACTCTCTTGAATATAATAAGAAAAAGTAGCCGCAGAACTCATTTGAGAGGAGAATTTTTCTAATGGATTTCCTTGATTATCTAAGAAAGCCAAAACATCCTCCGGACTTGATGTACCCTTGTGGACAATAACAACTTGTTTATTGTGAGAGTTCCAATACGCAGCTCCAAAGTAGCCATCACTAAAGTTTAGTGCCTTAGTTAATAGAATCCAATCTTCCTCTAGTTTTTGGGAGTTGTTTATCCTTTCCTTATACACTCTAGATGCAAATTCGGCTAAAACATGATCACTGGGATAAATGCATCGATCGAGGTAAAGGGCTCTTGGATTCATTGTTTTTACATCAGCTTCAATGATTGACATAAAATTCTTATTACTTAATTTTAAATCTTTACTTAAAGGTATTATCATCTTTGACTTAGAACTTGGGTCATCTTTAGGTGGGGAAGGGCCTTCTTTGAAAGAACCCTCATAGCACTGATCTTGCTTTTTTAGCCACTCAGATATATCCAGAGCAGCACCATCATGTTCACCTAGCATAAAAACCTCTTGTTATTTTCAGTCTCAACTTTAAACCGCTAAACTGCAGCTAAAAGTTTCTGTTATATAAAAAAATCAAAGGTTTTTAGGTAGTTAACATTTAATATGCATCAAAATGGACTACATATAGCTACATAATTTTTTTTTAATTTCTGATGAAAATGTTTTGATAAATTATTATAAATTTAACAATATGTTTTATGACAATCAAAATAATTTTGCTTATCACAATTAGATTGATTTAAAATTTAAATTTAGCCAAAATGTATATAAAGTAGCTATGTAATTACTTTTTTTAATTATTTATAAAATATTTTGATAAAGTTTTATTAATTTAATATTAAATTTAACGACGATTATATTAACTGAACATTTAAATTAAACTGTATTTCATATAGCTCCATAATCAATTATTTTTATTTTCTATGAATCATTTTGATAATTGATTATTAATTTATGACCTTGACATTGATTAATTTTTCAGCAAGCATACCTAGTTTTTTTTAGCTTCTTTGTAAAAATACTATTTTTTTCATTATCATTTTGTTTCTTAATATTTTTCTTATCAATTATGATTAGGTTATTATTTGTATAATTTGCTTTGTAATATATAGAGATAGTTTTTATTAGCTTCTTTTCCGAAGCTCTGTGTTCATAAGAATTTAATGCTTCTTTAGCGAACAATATGTTATTTTTATAACTGATGTGAGTTGGCGAAAAATATTCATGTTATATGTATCTTAGCTTCTTTTTAGCCGTCATCCTCTATACCGACTTTGAAAATAACTCAAAACATCATTATAAAGAAAAGTCGGCATTTTTCGAAATGAAAATGCATTTATGATCAAGTTTTTTTAATATTTTAAAAGTTATTCTTATTCTTTGTCGCTTAGACTCTCCAAGATTTCAAAATTATGCATTGATTTTTGATAGTTTTCATCTTGGGGAAAAACCTCATGATTGCATATTCAGTCGTAACACTAAAAATATTTTAAGGATATTAAAAACATTTTGCACATAATTGGATACCCGCTAGTGACGTCATCATAGGTTAATCGTGGCATTCTTCGATTTAGGCATTTCAATCAAGTTCGACACACACACATGTGACGTCGCTTACAGGTATTTAATTAAATCTGATTCAAATCACTGGGTTAGGCATAATCACTGCACTTCTCCAATTGCAAGTAACCCATAATAAAACTCGTTTGTTCAAAAATAGTTCCGTGGTTCGTCTTCATTTGAAACGGATCAAAGTAAGGAAATCTCGTACTTTAATCCTTTTTCACCATGTTAAATAAAAATATGAGGACTAAAGGACTAAAAGGACTGAAATAATCTTCATAAAATTTTTGTACTGAAACTACGATTTCGGATCCATTTCGAAATTTGATTCTGTTTAACACTAGAAAGACTGAAACTTAGTATATACCTGTATTGCCCATAAGCAATTAAAAACGAATTAATAATGTGTAAAAAAAGTTTTTTTAAATTAATTTTTAAATATTTTTTAAATTATTCACAGTTGTATAAAAATTTATTAGTAAATATTAACAATAAAAAAATTATATTTTGTACAAAAAGTCACAAACTTTTAAGAAATTGCGTCATTATGTACACCATTGTTTTTCAAATTGAAATTAAAAAGCAGTCAAAATGACTTCCTTAGGTAATCTAGTGCTAATGAAATGGCGTAACTATAATGAAGGTAGTTCATATGTTCGTAAAAACATTTTTCTTAGCTTTGGTGTTATTAGAAAGAAAAAAAAGTGAGAACAATGGAATTCTTTTAAAATACTGGCACGTAAGTATTTAAAAGTTTTTTCTTTTAAATACACTTCTCTTTAAATAATTTTTAGAAAATATTTTGGAAATTTCAAGAACTTTTTACAGGGAAATCGCAAACTTATACAACCTCAATTTATGTTCGGGTTATGTTAAATACCATATTTTTCAATATAAAAACAAAGAAGGTGTTCCTTTTTTGTTTTTTCATTAAAAATTGTAGTTTTTATTAATAGCATATTTACCAAAAATATTACAAGATGTTTTTAAGGGAAATAAAAAGCTTTCCTTTCTCAATTTTTTTACATAATATGAATGTTACATTTTTCAACATAAAAAATTAAAAATATCTCTTAGCCAATAAAAAAAAATTTGATTTTTAATTAAAATATTTCCAGACTCTTTTACATTTTCAAATGCCAAATCCATGATCTCAGTTTTTCTTCACATAATATTAAGTACCATGCTTTTTATCGGACAATAAAAAAAATATTAAAGTTTATTTTTTTGTTTTCGGTTGTTAAAAATAAATATAATTGGAAAAGAAGATTATTAAAAAAACTATTGAAACTTTGAATATTTTGGTTCTTATTACATTAACATTTTCGATGAAACCACTTTATATTGTTTCATGACCTAACAAATTATTTGATTTTTCCAGTTGACAAACGTGGAAAACGAGCTTGGAGAATTTTGTTACTTTATTATAAGTGCTTCAAACATTCTGCTAAAGACCTAATTTTTGAATTAGAAAAAATACTATTTTCATTTTTTTATTCAATTTCTATTAATGCTATTTAATTTCATGCTGATAAACTCTAAGTGTTTTACTAAATCAACTTATTAATTTCAAACTACTTACTAAAATCAAAAAATACACTTTTTTTTTTTTTTTATTTTTTTTTTTTTGAGAGTGTGTGGGGGTGGGGAAATATGGTGTGGTGAAAACTTGAATACCACAGGAAAAAATTGAGATGGTATAAAATTGTAATTTCCTGTAATAAAAAAAATTGAAGGAAAATGTTTCATTTATGCTTAGATTACAGCATTTTAATAATTGAATTACATAGTCCTCACTTATTTCCTTCTAGTGACCCTAAAATTAAATACATTGGCAAATATATAAAAATGCTATGGACGATTATGATGTTATAATCTTTAATAACACCATTTTGGTAAATTGGCTCAAATTTTATAATATCCCATAAATCGTTGTTTTAATTCAGAAATAAATGGGAAAAAATTATTATCAACGAGTACTTCGCTAAAAAAAAATTATAAAAATCTCTGTCTTAACATCAACGGCTGTTGGTCCGTTTCACATGAAATAAGTTCCATGCGAAAAATATTTAAGGAAGTAAATTAACTCTTAATAATTGTTTATTTTTTATTGTTTATATTTAATATTGTCATGTTATATTTATATTTATAGTTATATTTACGTTATGTCATATTATTTGGAAATATTTATATTCTGATATTTATTTTAGAAGTAGTAAATTATAATATTATTATTTAATTGAATAATTTTTTATGCTTTTTGTTTTATTTTTTAAATATAGTAAATGTTAAATTTAAAAATAATTTTTTACGAGTTTTTAGCAGTTTATTTTTTTTTCTTATTTAACTGAATAATTATTAAAAAAAACTTTGTATGGCATATGAATTTAGATATCATATGAAACAATGTGATTTAAATAAAAAAAAGTATTTGAAATTTGTATGAGATTGATTTAAACTGATCTCGAGAAATGGCGGTATAAAAATGTGAATTTTTTTTAAAAATATTACAGTGACAAGAAGTAATTTATGTTGTTTTAGGTTCTACAGAATGCTTCTATAATTCACAATTCTACATTTATACACCTATCATTTATACACCTGGTGCTATATACCCATCTTTGAATGCGTTTCGAATTCTTCTTCAATTAATTGTAATTTGTCTTGCACAAAACTAATTTTTATACATATAAAGTTTTAGAACATATTAATTGTTAATTCCGTTGGTTTAGGTTTAGATTTATTAGAGTAAGAACAAAAAAAATTATAAACATCTCATTCGTAAAGAAAAAAAGTCTAAAAGATGTACCCCCTTTCACAGTAACTTCAAGATGGCAGCAAATGTTTCTCTTGGGGAAGGGCCAAAACTTCAGGCATCCACATTTTGCCTAAACTACAAATTTAAAAATTATGCCAAAGTTTTCCATAATTATTTCTGTTTTTACAATTACTTAGTAATTAACCACACGTTATAAATGTCTGATATAAGATTATTTTATAAGTTTTGCTAAGTCACCATTTATCTCTAAAAGGATTTTAATTTTGTGATACAAAGATCTCTTCAAGCAAATTTCATACCCGTGGACTTTTGACGAAGGCAGTTTGTATTAAATGTAAATTAAATCATTTTAAAGATTGAATGCAAAGAAATTAATTCATTCCTTGAAGAGAGGGAAAATTTTCAGTTGTCTGCAATTTTAAGGTAAAATATTACTGTACTCGAAATGTAAACCACAGGTACTTCTTATTAGCATATGTTTTCACTTAAATATATACGTTTGTAGATCACTCTTGAGAAGATTCTTTGACCTTTGTATCGCAGTCAACTATAAATATACATGTCCTAATAGTTAATGTAGAATTGCAAAACACAAATTAAGAGTCCACGATATTTTTTTAGTAATATATTTTTTGATATGTTTTTCTTGGACACACCATCAACAAAAAAAATACTGTACGTCCTGATAGCATTTTGGTCTAATGATCGGATCTATACGTTTTCCAACAGTGCATGTGTCAGGGCTGCACGTAATATTTTTAATTCATATATTCTGATCGTTGAATCAATCTAATGGAAGACCATTTGAACAGTGCCCAAAAAACGTCCTGATAACATTTTGGTCTAATGATCGGAACGATACGTTTCCTAACAGTGGTGTCAGGGCTTGCACGTAATATTTTTAATTCATTTATGCTGATCGATGAATCTATCTCATGGAAGACCATTTGTAGAGTGAATAAAAAAAAACCAGTATGTCCTGATAACATTTTGGTCTAATGATCGGATCTGTACGTTTTCCAACAGTGCATGTGTCAGGGCTGCACGTAATTATTTTAATTCATATTTGCTGATCGATGAATCTATCTCATGGAAGACCATTTGAACAGTGCACCAAAAAAAACAGAACGTCCTGATAACAGTTTGGTC